TGAAATGGGCGCAATATTCATGGAACAAAAGTAGAAGTTGACTAAAAGAGTGTCATGATCGGATTAAAGCTGAAAGTGTGGGAAGTGTGCGCTACAAGTACAAGTTTAAGCGACACAGAGCCTAAGCCACACCATAAACAAGTGTGGTGCCATCTAGGCATAGAAAACCCCCTAATAACCTCCTTACGCCCACGCCATACAGCCGCTCATATATCCATTATTTAGCCTTAAGCGCTACCATATTACCTATTCCAACCTCTTACACACACACAAGATCGTGTCGGGAACCTAGACGAAATGGAGGGCCCATACGTCCACAACACTCCGTGTCTCCATTTCCAACAGTTGCAACTGCGGAGGGCCTCACCGCGCAGATAGCCGATACTGTCTCTCTCGACCTACTCGTGCTGGAGCGCTGACTAAGGAGCAGATCGTCACAATCCGAAACGCCGGCAACCGTGAGTTTGAGGCAGTCAGGAGGGCAAAAGCAGGGGTTGACAAAACAAGAGCAGCCAGCCTCGCCAACACTAGATCAGGGAGTGCGAGTAGCCCAGGCTCATCCACCTTACCACCCGCATCAGTCACGCCGACTGATGCCACCCCCCGTTCATGAAAGGCGCCTCACGGCGTCGTTGTTGTGATATGACTGTCAGAGCTGCTATGGGCCATCCCTGTCTATCTACAGGGATATAGCATATCCATGTACCAGTGCAGTTTATAGGATCCATGTGGTCCCTGCACAAAAGTTATTACGATCAACACCAAGAGCTTTGTGTTACTAGTACAACATGTTAGAAAATGGAATGGAATGTGTGTTTTAAAGGTAAGAGCTTACGGAGGTTAATTGGCAGAAGGTTTACAGATGATTATTGATGAATCAATGTGAACTGCTGATATATTTGATATTCAGAACTATGAGGATTTAGGAGGTAGAAAGAGCTAATTATATACACATCTGATGTAGCCAGACTTTCGCCTTATTTACCCAAAATAGTATCACAGAATATTTTAGTCTCCTCCATCTGGCAGTACAGTCTAGAAACACTATCTATACAGTGCTCCATTTTTCCTCTATTCATCATGGAGCGACCTGGCAAGTTCTTCCTTCACCCTCAATGATCATTACCCCTGTGCACCGTAATCCTAGCCATCACCAGCACAACAATGTGGCTATGGAACATTCTGGTTATATGATTATGGACTGTATCATGGGTATACAGCATGTATATATATCAGTCCTGTCTACCTCAGTAGCACCATTGATCGTTTTAATTAAGTTATTCATATCTTCAGTCTCTGATTATCATCCTCTGCTCTTCTCTGTTATCCCTAGTTTGTACAACATTCCACATCTACTCATAAATTAAGTACAACAATCTGGTCATACGCAGTTCCGATCAACTGCAGTAAAACCGTAGACTGGTGATAATGCGCCTTGTGAACTTACTGAGGAAGCACCTGTGCAGAGTGAAGCTCGCCGTAATCCATCACGAAGCAGGAGAATCCCTTCCTGCTACCGTGAAGCAATACTAACAAACACTCTTGTACTGAATAAGGAAGGACTCATCTCAACTGAAAAACCAACAAACTTTGAAGACTCTCGGCGCAAATAATTAAATGGATTACTGGAGAATGGTGTTTTTGAAATAATTAACAAAAAGAATGTTCCCTAAGGTTTGCGGATAATTAAAACAAGATCTGTTGATGAAATTAAGCATGAAGGTACGTATGAAGCCTATCATAAATCTAGACTCGTGGTATAGGCATACAAAGACACAGGAAAACGGGAGATACTCACTCAGGCGACCACTATCCAGCGAGCACCACAGAGACTTCTTTAATGCCTGGCAATGAAGATTCCTAACATGAAAAATTGCACTTCGGGATATCTCACAGGCTTATACACATTCAAAGACACAGGTAATGCGCGATATCTACGTCAAACCAGTTTCTGAACTAGGTACGCCGCCGGGCACATTATTGCGCGTAATTTGTCCACTATACGATATTCCGGAAGCAGATACTCATTAGTTCAACACTTATCACAAGTATAATATGAAGAAGCTTGGGATGATTACATCTACATTTGACACTTGCCTGCTCCACACTAAAACTGAGGCCTCGGATTACAACACCTTTGGCATAGTAGGACTGCAGACTGATGACACCTTGATTGTAGCAAATGTAGCATTTTTAGAAATGGAACAAAAAGAGATTGAAAAATCACGATTGTTATACAAGCCATTAGAAACTCTCAGTGATGATCGGAGCATCAATTTCAACGGCGGTATCCTAACTATGGTTAAAAGAAACATAAAAATCAGTTAAGAACAACAAGCTGGCCGAATAAAAGAAATAAGTACTGATATGCCGGCAGAATACCTGAAAGCTCATTTTATTGCACAAAGGGCACGTGGCGCGTGTATGGCAACTATGTTGCAGCCTGAAGCTAGCTTTGCACTCTCACAGGCAGCACAGGCCAGTCAGCCTACAACCAATGATGTCAAATCTCTTAATAAATGTCCAGCATGGCAGATATCAAATAAGAAAAATAGTATTAAATTTGTCAAACTTGACATTAAGTCAATCAAAGTGGTCGTCTTCACGGATTCAGCTTTTGCCAACTATACTGATTATTCTTCTCAAATCGGTTTTGTTATTATGCTTTCTGATGATAAAAATCATGCCAATTTAGTGCACTGGGCTTCTATCAAATGCCGTCGTGTTACTCGCAGTATCCTAGCGGGTGAACTATATGGACTTGGACACGGATTTGATATGGGATCAGTTATTAAGGCCACAACTGAAAAGATACTTAAACCATGGCATCCTAGCCCAGTTCCCATGATCATATGTACTGATTCACAGTCACTATTTGATTGTATTGTCAAAATGGGAACCACACAAGAGAAAAGATTGATGATAGATGTTATGTGTCTGCGCGAAACATGTGAGCGTCGAGAAATAACTGAGATTATGTGAATACCAGGAGATAAAATTCCAGCTGACGTAATGACAAAAGAAATGAGCAAATGTTGCAAGGCACTAAGAAACTTGACCCAAAATAACTTGATTGAGCTAGAGCCTAATAGATGGGTTCAAAGAGAGACATTATAAGGGTTTGTACATTATAGAAGGCATCTGGTTGATGCCAGTGTCGGTAAAAGGATTATACTTGGGCGTTGTGAATTGTTCTATGTAATTGCAGTGTTCAGGTTGTCTTTAGGACGCTGACAAGGATCTGATTTAGCTCATAAGCGAGGCGCTTGGAGTAGAGGTAGAAAGGGTAGAGGGAGAAAGAAAAAGGAGAGACAACGTTTGATGTATTTCGAGATACCAGTTAATTGAGATTATTCATTGACTTCATGATAGACAGCTGACTTTGTGACGGCAACCAATTTGTATTACTTCGTGTTTTACCAACAAACACACTCCAACCACCGAGATCATCACCAACCGAGACCTCAACAAATCTAGTAGCAATTGAAGATGGGTAGTCTTCGTCTGCTCCGCACTGCGTCCAGTTCGGTCTGGTATATCTAGATTTCAATACTTCCCGCCTACCGGTTTTCTGTCCTCTCTCAAGGTGTTAAGTCCTATGAAAACAAGGTGCCCGTAGACCAAGGCCTAAGCTTTGTATATTATGCCATAGTTTCATCCTCGTAGGTAGACATATCATCGTAACTTGGTACTAGACAATGACCAATTTTTGATGAGGCAAATCTCTATTTGAAATCAGCGCGACAATTTATCAAGTCATTGAGGCATGTTTTTTTATGGTAAGATTGAGATAAAGCACTTCTAAGAGAATTATAAGACCGAAACTGATGGTGGGGGTCGTTGATTCTAGACATGTTTGTATTTGCTTTCGACTTCAATTCAGATGCAATTCTACTTCAACATCCCACATATGCAAAGCGTACTGATCAGTTACACCGGCACCGCTGGCGCTAAAGAATCCACCTATGCCAGTGGCGAGAACTTCGGTGTTGACACTATGTATTGTAGACTCCTCGATTCCCTTGGAAACACGAGTTGCAGAAGGCCGAGTTTCTTAGAGGCGACCACGAGTCAGTTGACTGTAACGTTACGTCTGAGAAATCCGCCAGGTCAGCCACTCCAGACGCGCCCCGATATTTGTTTCCAACGCGGCAAACCTCCATTGGTGCGAGTCTAGTATGGTCACTGGCCATGCTGGCGGAGCTCAGCCCTCTCATACTTGCTGAGCATGTCGCGGCTCACTAACCCCGTCTAGGTTTAGTCCGGTCTTCCTTCAACACACAGCCAAGTCGACGGATCCCGACTTCCCGCAGTGTTTCTCATGACTATTTATTACAGTAAAAAAGTGAAGAGTTTGTAATGGGCTTCCTAACCAGGAAAAGACTTAATAAGGTAACTGTAAGTAACACTGCACTTCAATATGGAATGGATTCCACTCGCCTATTTGTGACAGCCCGATGTGGCGCTTACAGTATATGACACCGAAGTTTCTCCTGTGTGACGCATCGAGGGTAAGATGTTGGAACAAAGACGTTGTTGATAGTAGTAGTTGAGAATCCGAGCAAGCGTACGCTGGCCCTGGCTACACACATATACATGTGACGCGATCTCCAGCTACCGAGACTCACAACTATCTCGGGCCAGGTGCATACTGGCCAACATAAACAACAAGATCCAGCCGCCATATTGCGCGCAATTAATGACTAACTGTTGGACTCAGGAATGGGGCAATTTATTGACACTACAACCGGCGGAGGGCTGGGTTCAGCAATGCTGGGCCTAGTGGGGCTCCAGGGTAGGAATCTGCGTGGTTTAATAGGAATAGCTGTGAGAAGGGGGGGCTTGGAGACTCCACAGTGCCGAGTCAACTATAGTTGCAAATTAATGGCAACTCTGGCTCGAATTGTCGTCAAAGGTAATATATAGCTTGACCAGCTCTCCCCAAGCCCAACCATCTCGTCAAAGTTATCATCTCACTTCTGACTTCCCATTCGCACAACATGCATTCCAATCGCTTGATCAGCTGCCTCGGAATTTGGTTAATATCTATCATAGCTGTGGTGCAATGTTTTACTAACTACAATTGTGGAAATGGTGTGGAGATAACAGCAACGGAGGCTCTAAGAGTCCACGGCCAGGCGATGTCGTATTTGGCTGATGTTGCTGCAAATATCAGGCCCGCAATTAAAGTTCCATACAGAGGGACTATAAAGAACCTACCTACACCCACTTATTTTTGGCACATAAAATCCTTAGCGAACCATCAGGGTGGTAGATATTCCCCGCGCAACTTACTTCAATCCACTAACCTGGTTAACAGAGGTGGTAGTAAATTACTTTATGTTGACTTCATCAACCGGCGAATTCTTGATGATAATAAGCACTGGCTGGATGAAGGAGATTGGCGAAGATGACACCTGGTGTCCCGGGACGTAAACAATTCAAGTACGCAAGCAGTTTTCGGTCGACTCTGACAACGCTTTTGATTTCTAGACAATGTGTCAGCTGTTTCAGGCGAGATCCAACATAAATTTCATAACTCTCGCAACTTAAATTCTTGCCAGCTACTGAGGAAAGAAATGTTTACCAGGTAACAATGGTTGACATGGGTTATGCAGGGTATAACAGAGTGCTAACAGGCGTACCTTTTGGAACCTTAGTAGCTCTGGTTACTGTTGTTTCAGGCTGTAGCCTTGAATTTGGATCCTGAACTGTCTGTCTCCGACTGTGAACAAAAGTACGCTAGTGTCATGGGAAAACGCGCTCGATTGGAACAAAAAATCTTGCACCTGCATTGTAGATATTCTCCTCGTTAGATAAAATATAAATTCATTTTTGGACCCATAATTGTGAACAGCAAATGGGAAGTCCCTTCACAACTATGATGTCAATACAGATTAGGCAAAGCTATGGAAGATGATAACGTCTTGTCTTCTGTTCTAGTTCCCCTTGTCTCTTGTCCTCAGGTATAATTTGAATGACGAACTCATACTTTTGCCTATTGCCTAGCTTGCCAGATATAACTTAAACTTCTCAGTAACCCTCCCAAATGCTAACTTTGGCACTCTCAAGCTTAACACTTCTTTTTAATAAAGAGCTAATTCCAAATAATTTTCCGAGCCTTTACCTCCTAGTTGTTGGAATCTATGACGTCAGTCAGACCATGCTAGGGCATTTGTCCGCAGCAAACATGTCTCCTGACTACCTGAATGAGGTGTTGGATAGAGATTACACAACACCTGCTCTTAATGTAGTGGCTGAAATAATAACACATATCTCAACCCACACAAGTAATTGAGATCTGTGGAGGTGTAGGAACTCGACATTTCTAACATAGTATCAAATGAGGAACTCAATTATAATGTGACCCGTCTGCTTAGTCATATTAAATTAAGGGAACTCGGTGTTACTAAGATGTAAAACTTTGATTTAACAATAATAACATTACAATTTTACCACTTTCTAAATTGATCTATCAACTCCACTCCTAATCCCTCGAAAGCGATATGTGGTAAGAGTCTTACAGCTCTTATCGCACTTCCCAAATAATTACGATATTTTTTCACTAGTCTCCATAATTGAGGTTGTGCCATGCAGACAAATGATTTGAACTCCCATATTTATTCCGAGAGGTCCGGCTCAGCAGGCCATAGTAAACCATGGATCTATTCTGTCATTTCAAGTGATTTGAGCCGTCTACCTGAGACATGTAATTAATGTTCTAATTATGTGATTTGTGGCTACTTTGACAGAATATGTCGTGGCAAAACATTCTTGAACCAGAGTCTAAGCAGAATACCTGAGGATAAAGTTCACGAAACAGGTTTCTCGGCTCACCCTCAACACTTGCACTTATATGGTGAGACTAGATAATGCGCCAACTGGAATTGATATGGTTGAGGTCACAGTTTGAGTTATGATGGGAAATTACAACAGTCTTAGTTGAATTATGCTAGATAGTTATTTGTACTTGAGGAAGCTGGAGCTACCACATAGTAATTCTCCTGCTTCACGATCTTATAATATTATTATAGTATTCCTCTCTCAATCCCGCTTCCTTCTATTCTTAGCACTTCGTCGACCTTTCATCTGTTGTAATGGAAGTTGTATAGAGTAGCGTAAGCTGTTAGGCTTGTATTTAATATCACCTAATGAAGCGAGTTGGGAGATTGAAGAGTCTGAAAACTATAGTGAAGAGTTGTCGATTAAACCCACTTAGTATCAGAGCCCTATTCAAACTAATTACTACATCTAAGTGAAGGACACGATTCACTTGTTTATGCTAAATAATTGGGAGGCTGGTCAATGTATGAGTTGTCATGAATGTGGCTAGCAATAATAGAACCTTATTACGTTCCGTATTAATGCGCCTCTTCATTGCCAAGTAGCGCCAATTTCAACACCCCTTCTCACTTTGCACTGAAGATGCTGGTGCACAAGTGCGTAAGTCTTGGTTTAGGTAGACCTTTTGTACAGATATCCGCAAGATCTTGAGCTGATAGAATGTGTAGTAAGGTGAGCGTTCCATCTTCAACTCGCTCTCTAGTGAAATGATAAGCAATATCAATATGCTTTGTTGCATCATTGAGCTTCGGGTTATGTGCTAGATCAATAGCGGAACTGTTATCGGTTGACAGAGAAGTAGGTATATTTTTATCCAATATGTGGTTAATGTGACGGTCTTAAAGTGGCGTTTTATTCAGGCTGAACTCAGAGCTAGATACAAATGAGAATCTCAAAGTAACAAGAAGAGACATGACTGAAAGCCTCCTATTTATTTACAAGACTATGATCTCGTTCCCTCATTTCATACCATTCTCAAAATAGATCATGACCTGTCCTCCGACAAACACCAGCATCTCCGTCTATTTTAATTCAGCTTCATTTTAATGTTAGTAATTTTAGTTATTAAAATAGTTATGATGCACGTGGCTTAGATGGCTCAAGACTGGTGTTCGAGTCGTCCTGTCTGCAATCTAAATTTGATATTTAAGAATAGATTTGCATGAACTGGGCCAAGGCCTATACTTGGGTCTAATGAGTCGTGGAGGGGTTCATGACATGTATGATGTTTAATATGGTTGGAAGAGTTCAAGCCTTATTTGTTAGGCAGCAGCCTAATGATAACCAGGTATGAGCCTGTGACAGTTAAGTCCTCTTACAATCCAAAGGAATTGTTTCGTTGCAACAGACAGTGCCATATACTCAACTTCACAAGTGGAGAGAGCAACGGTACGTTGTTTGCGAGACTTCCTGCAGATTGTGGATTGACCAAGTTGGAATAAATAACCAGAGAAACTTCTGCGTGTATCGAGACAATTTCCGTATGATGCGTCATAGTATCCATTGAGAACCAGGGGAGATTCAAATTTATATAACAAACAGACATCTTTTGTCCCCTTGATATATCTTAGAACTCGCTTGGCAGCACTTAGGTGAGTGATTGATGGATCTGAGTTAAATTGAGAGAGGTAAGAGATTGTATATGCAAAATCAGGTCTAGTAGCAGATAAGAAATACATTATAGATCCGATTATTTGTAGATACAGAGTAGCATTAGCCCTAGGTTCTCCATTTTGCGTTGCTTTTAATGGTTGGTTACACTCTATAGGCGTGGAGACCGTATTGCAATCTTGCATCAAAAACCTTTCAAGGATTCTATTTATGTAAGCAGACTGCGATAGAGTGATTACTACATCAGAGTACTCAATCTGAATTCCAAGTAGCCAGTGAAGAGTTCCCATATCCTTGACCTCGAATTCGGCCTTGAAGTGATTTACTAAATCTTCGATGAGCTCTTCTTGTTCTCCAATTAGTACTATGTCGTCCACATAGACTGCAATGATCATTTTATCTGTGTTGTGGATAAATTCACAGGGATCAAGTAGGGATGGAGCAAGACCATAAGGATTAATATATTCAGCCAACCTGAAGAACCTTTCCCGAGGTGATTGCTTGAGTCTGTATATACACTTTTTAAGTTTTGCAACATGATCTCCTTGCCTGTACCATTCAGGAAGTTCCATGTAAATGTCTTCATTCAAGACTCCATATAAAAATGCAGTTTTAATGTCGAGCTGTCTCGTTTTCCATTTCTTAGATGCCGCAATTGCCAAGATTAACCGTAATGAATCAAGTCGTACAACTGGAGCTAGGGTTTCGTCATAGTCAATTCCTTGGATCTGTGAGAATCCCTTGGCGACATAACGTGCTTTGTATTGTTCAACTTCCCCATGTGCATCTCTTTTTATCTTGCACACCCATTTGCCATTAACAAATTTTCGTCCTTTAGGTCGAGGAACAACATCCCAAACGTCGTTAGCTTTAAGGGATGCAATCTCCTCATCAATTGCCTTTTCCCAGTAAGCCCAATTAGGTGATGATTTGGCAACACTGTGTGAGCTGGGTTCAGTTTCATCATGAATATTTAACATGGCTAACTTGTTACCAACACCACTGTCAGATTGGAGTCTAGACGTTTGAGCTGGAGCGAATTCGAAGGACTAGAAGAGGTTCAATGGACGGCGAAAGGTGACTGAAGGTATACTAGAGATAATTTGGAGGAAATTGAGGTTTGAAAGATTGTTAATATAAGTATTTAAAAGGTCTTAAGGTTCGAGAGGGTACTAATGATAACTAAAGGTACTAGAAGTAACTAGAGGTGACTATAGGTGACCAGAGGTGGTCTGAAGGTGGTGGTTGTGACAGAAGACTAAGCGTGAAGAACTCTATAGCTGCAGGCCAAGCCATCATACATATACTTGCTTTCCTCCCACTAGCTCATCATAACATAGGCCCTAAACTAGTGCCAACATAATAACCAGTGCCAAGAACTGTTCTGTTGTCATAGCAACATCAGGAGAAGGGTAAAATTATAAACTAAAGTTAGGATGGGAAGGAGAATCCTTACAACCACACATTGAGATCTGCGATTCGGGTTCAAGAAGATAACGAGAAGTTTTCTACCATTACCCTATTATTGTGTCTTCATATGTCCGGGGACGTATTGTGGGCTTTGGTCTACAGTTAACGGATGTTCTTGAATCTTCATTTTACGGATGGCATTGATTTGACAAATTTGTTGTTGGCTGGGGTTCAATCTGAGCAGTAGCTAGAATTGATGACGGTTCTTGTGATGATGGCTCTCTTAAATCGGATTGAACGGCGTGACATGGATTTTGATTTTGATGGACATATTGAGTATTTTGTTCTTTTTCGACATTTAGAGAATTCAATTAACTGTTCAACGTCAGTGATGAAGTTGGTAAGTTAGGTTGATTCATGGTATGTGGGTGGAGATCAGAGATCTTCTCTGGGACAGACTTATCAAGCTGATGAGGTAGAAATTTCACGTCTGCTGATATGATAATCTGTTTTCTCTCAGGAACAAATATTTGATAGTGATGATCGACTTCAGTGTATCCAACAAACACACC